TTGGCAAGCTAAAGGCGCAATTCAGTTGCCATGGCATACCAGAAATACTGAGAACAGACAACGGTCCACAATATACTCATTAGCAGTATTCGCCAAATGCTTCAAATCATATCATTAAGGTATTTATTGCACAATCATAAAACATTAAAATATATAACAGCAGTCAAACAAAGGAAAGACTGAAATTGTTATATTTACAAGGGAATTAAAAAAAAAATTAATATACACAATTCATAATTAGGCCTACAATTAAAATATACAATTCAAATTACAATTCCAAAATACAATTCAAAATTACTTATATGAAAAAAGGAAGTAAATATATAGGAATGTACACATAAAAAAAAATATATTTACGAAACTGTTCGAAATTATTCAGGTTAGCATATGTCTAGCAATATATACGTTAAGATTCGTAGTAACAGTAATCAATTAACCAAAATGACATCAAAAAAGCACAAACAAACCACAAAATTCACAACTTCAGGACAAGACAACACTAAAAAAAAAAAAAAAATTACTATTGGTTTTTGATGTTTTCATTATGTAAAACCCTATTCATTTGTTTATTTTCAATTATGCGAAACGGAGTATTTTCGAATCTGTTCGATAATTATTATAAGTTTAAGATATGAACCTTAATAAAGTTCATTAAGAATTCCTATTATGGAGGGGATTGCAGAGTTCTTATATCTTTTAGTTTTGGGAATGAGTCCTTGGAGTTTTCTTACTCTTCTGAGTGAAACGTTTGAGTCAATACGTCTGCGAGGTAGCATATGCGAGTAGCGTTCAGAATTGTATAGCGATTTTGCAAATGAAGTCAAAAGAGTTCTCCTTCTTTCAACTGATTGTATTGTCACACCCAGGAGTTTGAGAGATAGGACTGGTTCAAGGGAATGATTATCCAATACAATATTATTATTATTAACAATGTCACCATTAAGGAAACTAATTGTCATGTTATAACATTTCTGAGTTGTCTTTACACAATGATTGAGGTTATTCATAAGAACTTGTAACCTACTTTGGTTAACATGATTCCGATTGACAATATCAATAATGCTGAGATCGTCCACATATTTCCATCTGTTTTCAGTTGACATGGCTGCATCGTTAATCATAGCAAGAAAAATAATTGGACAAAGTTTTGTCCCTTGCGGGACACCACATGAGACTGTAAGTGTGGAGGAAATTTCACCTAGGAATTTAACAGACTGTTTACGGTTAGTCAGAAAATTAGCAATGATAGGAATAATTGAGGGGTTGACATTCATTTTGATTAGCTTGTGAACTGCAATCGTGTGGTCAATAATATCGAAGGCTTTTTCAAAGTCTACCGTACAAACATTAACAAAATGTCCAGGTTTTTCAAGTCCACGTAGTATTGTGTAACATACTTATTAGATAGTGATTAACAGAACTGCCTTTGATATTACCAAACTACTGAGTATCAATATTGTGTTTCATATCGTCCATTACCCATTCTGCTAAGAAACCTTCAAAGATGCGAGCTAAAATTGGAGTTATAGAGATAGGTCTAAAACTTGCAAAATCTTTTGCACGCTTTACTTTGGGGACAGGGGTGATGGATGCTATTTTCCACAAATTCGGAAAAGTTCCCTGAATTAGACAGGAGTTGAAGATAATAGTCAGCGGCTCTGCTATCTCAAATGCAAATTCTTTAATGAGCCTTATAGGGAGGTCACTCGGGTGTCCAGCTTTAGATGTATTGAGACGACGAAATTGAGTGTACACCTCGTTTCTGGTGATGGCTGGTGGCGGTAACACAGGTAAATATGTAGGTAACTTTGTGATATCCAGAGCTGGTAATTGCGAGCAAATTTTTGCAAAGTGTAAATTTATTTCTTCAGCGAGAATACTTGGTTCTTTATTAAGACTATGAAATACAGCATCACACCTCATCACCGTCTTATCCACAATTCAATGGATCGTTATAGAGAGCAGTGCAGACTGTGAAAAGGCTATGGAAGAAAAGTACACACAAAGGCCTAGCCTTATTATGCTATCACACAACCCCTCTTGCCAGTTGTAACCTATCACCTGCCCAACCTTTAATGAGACAAAACCTCATAATCTAATACCAATACCAACAGCAAAATCACTCCTCTAAAATCACATAATACCACTGACATTGAACAACGGTTCTGGGCAGATAAATCTAAGCAGAAATACTACTACAAAAAGATATGCAGCAGAAATCTTTCAGCTCTTACACCAGGAGATCCCGTCCTAATGACCCCTCTACCAAGATCAAAACAGTGGCTCCCAGCAACCATCATTGAACACCACGGTGTATTGGAACACAATGGACGAATGTATGGCAGTAACAGAAAGCACCTGCGAATACCAACAAGTGCAGCAAAACAAAGGCAACACTTTCGAACCAGAAATAGACCTTGCACCTCATACTTCAAATGACACAAGAACTACACCAGTAACGTTACCAATACCATAATTCGCTACTCCAGAACAGAAAAAAGAACAGCCAAAAACCAATCCAGAAGCAGCCGAACCAAACTACCAATAAGCCGAGAACACGTTAGGATTTGTAAAGAAATAATTTTGTTTAAATGCTGTAAATACATATACCTAATTCATAAAAAATTACATACACTTTTTGATGTTATTAACTATGCAACTTTCTGCAAACAAACTCTCTGTTAACATCAACTAGTGTTGTGCTATTTTATTTCGTAACTCAAATAAACTAATCCCTTTTGACAATAGACAGATTACAATTAACATTAATTCCGGACACACTTGGAAAACGCACATTAAAGAAATAAAAAACAAAATTTCCAAAAAAATGTTGGCATTATTTTTAGGCTCTCTTCTCTTATTCCTCTCCATATCCTCCGTATTGTTTATTTCAGTCTCATCCTCTCATATTTAGGTTATTGCAATATTGTTTGGTGCAACTCCTTCCAGTCTACAATTATTATTTTTTTGGGAAACAAAAGAAAGCTATTCGTATTTTATCTGCTCCACCACCACTAGCCCACACTGACCAATTATTTAATTCCCTCAAACTACCTAAATTGCAAGTTATCAATATACTGCAACAATGCAACTTCCTGTTTCCTCAACCAAGTCCTTTAATCTTATTGTGAATGTTTTTCTTTTTGTGAAAATGAATTTTTTTGGCCTACCAGACTCATTTCATTTTGAGTGAAATAAAATTATGAATTATGAATTATGAATCCCCAACAACTTATTTCCTCAGAATTCTTTTTACCACAATTATTTTACCAGAACTGGCCTAAATCTGCATATTGCACTACACAAACAAACATCTTTTAAGTATATCAGATTTGCCGGTCTAAAACTTCACACTAATTTACCAACTAACAATCTGTATCAAAGAAAAGCTTTTTCATCATTCTTATAAAACAATTTGTTTTGTCAATAAAGTCAAGATATTAGTATTCCTTAGATGACGATCGGTTGTTATACATATTTTCTTTACTTGCTCTGTAACCTCTTTGTTTTTTTTTATCTGTTCTCTTCTGTTATCTATTTCATGTATTTTTATTTTCAGGCGAACCTATTACAAGCTTTGTGGCTTTTCTGGTTTTGCCCTCTTCCAATTGTTTTCTTTTTAAATAATCATTAATCAATTGTTAACTTTACTATTTTGGAGAAAATAATTGTTGTCAACTAATATCGTATATTTAAACCCATTGTTGAAACGTTATTTTTGCCAGTTTCTCAAAGAAGTTAATTAAAAAGTCTAAACTATTTACCAATAATGGTGTATTTATAGCAAAAAAAAAATAATAAGTTCGTTTAAAGACAATGTCTTTGGGAATCTTGGCCCTAGAATTTTTACCCTTTTTCCATTTTATATTAACTCTAGTTCCTTCACGATATATTAAAAAAGTAAAACTAACTCCACTTTTTAATGTTCCATGCTTAATATCTTTTAACATTCCTTTTATCTTGCTGTTAATTTGTATTCGTTAAAAAAGGCCTAATTAATTTTTGTTTGTATTTGTATGGTCTTTAATAAAAAATATTGTATGCTCCAGTGATAATTTTTAATGCATATTTTATTGCCTTTTACAAGTAAAGATTATCATTATTATCACGAAAATATTAGTTTTCGCATATTTTATAGAACTCGCTAAAATTTCATCAACATGGAAAACACTGACAAATATTTAACCCATGGCTAGCCCACCTGCGATTAAAATGCAAGCATTTTAACCACCAAGCTTTTTAACTTAAATTTAAACACGATTATAACGGGATCATATATATTCGCAATATCTTGGTGATACTGTTGAAATGTTGCCGTAAATTTTATTTTAATGATCATTAGTACTGTAAAGGTTTAAAAATGTTTTATCAACAAATTTTCTATCATAGGACCAGCTAATAAAATGCAGTATGACGTACCTGTTACTAAGTAGTAATGATGTATTTCATTCTCAGTCTGTACGTGAATGTCACTTCCAGAAAATTGCAAATCGGTCGTTGTTAACTGAATTGCGATCTATAACACGTTTTGGTCGACCACACTTCACCTCATTACCATCCCGATGTGAGTGTTACTTATTCAGTACGTCTATTTATATACAAAAGTTCGTTGGCATCTATGAAGATCCTGGATTATAAGATTTATGTACAATACCATAATATGTCTCTTGTGTGAATAGAGTCTACTAACATTACATTGAATCGAAGTCACGACGGAAACGTTACACGTCATAATTTGCATACTTAGCTCCGCCCACTTCAAAGTGCGCATGCGTAACTACAATGGCAATTTTTCTTACGTTCTGTTCAGGACGTTAGTTTGATTGGTTTAGCGTACTCATGAAAACGTTAATTGTCTGAGTGGGCGGGGCTAAAATGACGTAAGGATTTTAGTAAAATAGAAATGCTGGTGAATCTGACCAATCAGTGAACAGCACTAAATTGTGGGTTTGTTATATTACATCTTGAATCTTACATGTGACTTTTTGTGAGTAGGAGTTTTGGAAAAATGGAAACGACAAGGAATCCGACCGGTGAACTTTCCGAAATTCAATCGTGAGTTTATTATATGTAAACAAATCATTTGTCAAATGCACATGTTTTATGTTTACATTCACAGAGTGCAAATTCATAGAACTCTGCAAAAAAGGAATACAGTAAATAAACTTAGGTGGATCCTCTATACAAAGACTGCATATGAACTGAGGCTATGCCCTGGAGACATAGGCCGCCTAGGCCTATTATAGGTCTGTAACGGTGTAGGAAAGGCCTTCCCTAATAAATATAGGACTAGGCTTTGGCCCGGCACCCACTTTTTTTCCAATATAGTATAAATAAAAGACAAATAAAAACAGAATTTGAAGAAGTTCTCTGTTGGCCTACAATGCAAACTTATTACAGTAGTAGGTCACACCAAATCGAGTAACTGTGTTTTTCAAAACAATGAAAAAACGTAAATTGTTCCAAAAAATAATTGAAAATTAATATAAATTGTGTTTAATTATATCATATTTTAATTATTTTATTTTATTTATTTTTGTTTGTTTAGTGTAATTGCTAATCCCATCCCGATGGCTTTGCAGACTCAAGTAAGAAAAAGGTATATGTATTGTTATATTATAGTATTTCATAAATTCAAGAATGGATACATTTTTTCATTTTCTTCTTTTTAAGTCCCTATTGTTCAACCTCTTTTATATTATCCTAATTTTTCAGAGTAGTCTGGAATGATAGTAAAGACATTTCTTTACTTAAGGAGATGATTGTAACAAATCCTTTCAGCTACAAGGAAAGAACCAGGGAAAGGGGGAAAATGTGGCAATCTGTGGCCTCTAATCTAAATGCCATGTGGGAAACTGATAAAACAGATAGCAGAGGCTACAGGGAGCTTTACAACCTCCTTAAGACAAAGCATGTAAAGGAGCTGGTAAATCTTGAAAAGGAGTCCGAAACATCAAGTCTTCCATCTGGTAATATAAAGAAAGAGAAAGAGGATGAGCAGGAAATGAGAAATAGATGTCTTAATGCCATGACACCAATTAAAGGTAAGATAGTTTGAAATTATATCCATATAAAAAAGGATAATACTTCATAAACAATCAATCGTGCTTAATCATAAAAAAAATGTAGATGTGACTATGACAATATTTATTGATCTTATTTGTACTGCAGGACAAAGAGTGAAGATGTGCAAGACAAGAAAAGAAGGAAGTCGAATGAGACCATGCTCAAGAAAAAATGGAGAGAGAGTTAAAGTGGAGAAATGAAGAGAAAGAATTGAAAGAGAAGCAGATGGAGCAAGAAGCAGAATTTAGAAAGCAAGAGGCTGCTGAAAGAACCAAACAAATAGATTTGATGCAACAGCAAATGCTACAGCAAACTCAGCAGATGAAAGATATTATGATAATGATGTTGGAAGTATTAAAAAATAAGTAATCAAATAATTATAAATATGTGATTAAAAGGTAATTTAAATAATTTAGCAGCCCCATTTGAACACTAGCACTCCAGAACACAAGTGCAAAGAGGAATACATCACTACTTCTACTACTACAGTACTTGAAGAAAAGTTGTTATACAACATTGATGGAGTTCATATAATTATTTAGCAGTGAAGCAGTTACCAATGTGTTGCTGTATTGAAGAAACTTTTATTTGAGGGAAGGACTCTAATAGGATACATTATTGCAAAGGCATCATCTTATTTGCCATGAGGCCCTAGGCTACTTTCACAAACAATTAGAATAAACACGTTATATCGTCATTGCGGACTTATAAAATCCGCATACGCTATAAAACTAAAAGAAAATGTATGCTTTTGGAGTCCGTACTGGGCCCAAAAAATCCGCAATGAAAATATAACGTGTTAATAGATACATGTGATAGAACAGAGTAGGCCCAGGCCCTACTACTAGATTAAGGTAAGTAAAATTGTTTGTAATTTGGCTTCTTTAAATTTACTTCACCAATAATATACTTTTTGCATAAATAAATAATAGGTAGGCTGGGCCCTAGGCCTAGAGAAGGATGTCCTTATCCTTATAAGGTGAATATATTAGGGAAAAATGTTGCTTAAATATAAATATTTAGAAACAGTTTATGATGTCCTAATTTTTTAACAACCACTCTAAAATGGTGGTAATTGAAAATACTCCTCTAACGTTGGTGGGTCTAGCCCAAAGACAGATGTTGTGACCAAGCCATAAAGAATTGTGTGTGCATTTGTGAGGAGGGCACACACAAGGTAGATTTTGCCCACGGCACTCAGATTCATTTTTAGATTTTTTTTTTTAAATCTAAAAACTTTTTTAATTTACCACCTCATTGAATGTCCACTCTACGCTGACTCTAACAGAACTCATGTTAGCATTGTATTGTTCCTGAAGTTCTGTAAAATGATTTCCTTTAAATGGGCCTTGAAGTTGACGTCGTAACAGGTATGCCGGATCACCATATAAGCATAGAGTATTGCCAGTAGGACCAACTGAATATTGCTGGAGTTGTTGGAGAAGCCCAGAATCTGCAAGCATACCACTATCATGCCGTTTTCCCAAGAAAGGGCCAGTCATATGAGCAATAAGTCCATTTGGTGTGGCAACCGGCTGGAACATGGCAAGAACTCTTTTATGTCCATTGTATATCAGTCTTTGTCGTTCTCCTGGACAGCAAATGGGTCTAATTGTCCCATCGATGAATCCCCAGCAGTTGTCTAGTGGAGCACCTTTTGCATGTACTGCATCAGCAAAGTTTTGCAAATTATGTGGTGCCAGCCAAGGTTGATCCAGAGATGTTAATAAGTGATGAAAGTTGTTGTAGATTAATTCCAACACCTCATAAGTTGCCATACACAACTCTGGGACAGAACGGCCAAACATAGGAATTAAGTCTGCATAGCGACACGGATATGCACATCTTCTTAGCAGTGCACATAGTGCTTCTGTTCCATCAAATATAGCCCTGTTACGGCAGCGTATTTCACCAGGAATGTGGAAAACTTCATTCAGTTTAAGAATGTCATTCTTCTTGAATCTGAAATGATTTAAATCAAATTCGAAACCATGCATAATGTTGCCATATAGAAAGTGAATTTCACTATGAAAAATAACATTGTTTCTTGTTTTGTGCTTTTTGTAATCCAATTGTGTGTTGGTTAATATTTTTATTGTCATTAAATTTTCAATGTTTTGATATTTAAAATTTTAAAAGACAATTTCTATGTTTGTGCATTTCGTCAACTGATTTATAAAAAAAAAATAAAATAAAATATTAGTTAATCACCTTCGCTCATATCTTCTAAGGTACTGAAAAAATAAAAATCATTTTGGGGAAAAATTGTTTGAAAAAAAAAATCAATAACTAACAAAATATTTTATTTTAATTTATTTTTTACATTTTTGTTAATTTAATTGAACAGTTAGGCCTAGACATAGTAGGCCTAGATATCCTTCGTATTTTATATTAATATGTTTTACCAAGGGTGAAATTTGGCAGTACACATTGTTTTTATTCTATCAATCATGTTTTACCAAGGGTGATATTTTTATTATTTCATTAAAAAAAAAAACAAAAAAAAAAGCAAACAAACCTTCACTCATCACTTTTATTTACCATCCAGACTTCTAGCTACATTAGAACAGAAAGGGTGATAAACAAACTAATAATAATAAAGATAATATTTTTAGAATAGTGTCTTAGTTGTGTGTGAAAGATAATACATTTGATAAACATACATATAGGCCTAGCTTAGCTGTCCTACCGTACTAGGGCCGGCCAGGCCCACGGTGGACTTAGGCCTACGCTAGGGCCTAGCCATAAGATCGACGATCGTTCATGGAGAGGGAAAGATTTACCTAAAGTAGGTTTCACATTCATCGCCTTCCAAATTTTTCAAATTCAACCGATTGTATCGCCAATTGAAGGTAATATCAGATTTTTTGACCTATTTAAATCGTATAGAAGAAGTAATTCTTCTTCGTAGATAATATCAAGCGCATATAAAAATTCATTTTGTTGATTTCCTTCCATTTTTATGTTATGATATTACGTCATCCGCATACGTCCATTCTAGTCGACCGATCTCAACGACTTAAACATTCTAATTTGCATACGGTCTCTTAGCGTTTCGATTTCGAAAAATCCCTACTCTGAGCTCTCAGAAGGGAAGCTTCTGCATACACAAGTGTGATTAGGTTGTTAATTTCAGCTTTATTGTAGTTTTTTTTTTAAATATTTGGTGTGCTGAACAATTTCCTTGCCGTTTTATATTTTTTACTAATCGTTTTAGAATGTATTAATTATTCATATTTATGATGTGCTTTCATTTTAATGCGTGATTGCCGCTGCTCTGTTGTTCATTGGCTATTTTAAAAACGTTAATGTTGTGAATTCTAATTTAAACTTGACTTTGTATAGGCCTAATTATTCCTTGTATTCTGTATTTTGATTACATTTTAACTTTTGTAAAGCGTATTGAGCAGTGTTAATTGAAAATGCGCTATATAAGTTATTATTATTATTATTATTATTATTATTATTATTATTATTATTATTATTATTATTATTATTCAAAATTATTTTGATACTTTGTTTTTGTGATTTTTTAATTTTTAATGCTGACCAAATAAATAATGAAATGAAATTATTATTATTATTATTATTATTATTATTATTATTATTATTATTATTATTATTATTATTATTATTATTATTATTATTATTCGTAAACGGTAGAGGTACCGCGTTGGCGGCAGCTTCAGTTAAGGATGTGTTTACATACAGTCACAACCAAGGATCAAATGTGTACTCTTATTCCCTTGATGCCGAAGTGACATTTAATCAGTTACCTCATTCTATAATATTTTATGAATTAAGTAAAGTTATAATGACGACTGGTGGCGATGTATGTACGTTTGGTACGCTAACGTTTCTGTTAGCATTAAGTGGGATAACACACATTAAGAGGAATAACACAATAACACAAATCGGTAGAAACTTCGCAAAATGTATTGCCTATGCCAATGATTACATTGTATCTCATAGTCTTCGTTTAAAATCCCGCGAAAACGTCATGTACAATCTTCGGAAAATAAAAATTATACAAAAAAAAAAATACAAAAAAAAAAAAAAAAAAAAACACCAAAAAAAAAAACAGAATAGACTCTAACTAATTGTACATTGAACATTACCAATTTTGTTACTTGTCTTTGTATAACACTAAATAGTAATTCAAAAAAGCAAGCCACAAACTGACAAATGTATGCGTAAATGTCAAAACGCGTTCTTTTCACTACAAAGTGCAGGTATGTGTAAACATAGATCTAGCATCGAAGTTAAGCTTCATGAGTGGAACAGTGTTTTAGTTCCAATTCTTGTGTATGGCTCTCACTGCATAAATTAACCTAACACAGTATCTTTGGATAAAATGCAAGTAAGTTATTCAAAACGGCATGTGGGTATCCCTAAATATTGTAGATCAACACCATTGCTGCATGCTGTAAATGTTTCTAAAATCAAAAATATTATTTTGTCTAATCAAATTGATCTCTTGTCACAACTGCTTGTTAATGAGTCCAACTCCTAGGTGTTTTATTGTCATCTTCTTAATTGCGAAGCAAAAAATAATATGTCGTATAGAAGTCCTCTCATTGACAGGATCAATGAAAATTAATGGACTAATATTACAGTTTGGTATTGTAATTATAATATCCCTATGCCTAGACACTGTTTATACATACAGCAATGGTCTTTGAAATTATAAAAAGCATCGTTGAATCTGGTCGGTTATTTGAGTTATGCAATAATTTAAAGTACAGTATGACATACGTACAGTATAATAGGGAATTGTTTTAGAGGAAAATTCTACGTACAGTATTTTTATAATGTTGATTTCTTACAAACATTTTGTTCATATTTGATATAAATAAAAGTAGTAGGCATAGATTTAAAGAGCAATAAAGAATGATTATACCAAATCTGACGATATTCCATGATGTCTTACTGTTTATAATAAAGGCTGTCTACCCAACTAAAAAAATGATAGCTTAATTTCAGATGATCGAAATCAGATGGAAGTAAAAAAAACACTTAATGCTCATTCCTGGTAAAATTTCACTAAAAAATTTTTTTTTAGAAAAAAAAATGCATATGCATTACTCTATTTATTATAAACAATTGAAAAATATTGGCATAAATTTTAGTTTCACTCAAAAGAATTAAAAAAAAGAGAAATACAGACTATTTCTCATAGGAGATTACCATTTTCTCCACGTATTCTTCGTTACTAGGCAAATTCAGAGGTTGTAGATCGCATCCGGTGGAATGCTCTCGCGTTTATGTATACTTTATACAGTCAATAAAATGCGCCCTCTCTAAAGAA